CGGGATTATCCTTCACCTACCACGACGTAAAACTAACAGACGCGCGAATACAAATTGTTGAAATAGAAATGTATACCTCGCCCACGTATCCGAATCAATTATTTTGACAAGATAACACGTGCTGAAAAGCAAATTTTGCAGGAAACGAAAAACCTGCCTTGAATATTTGAAGAAATATAAATATAAATATTTACGATCGTTTCTTGAAATACAAAATAGATATCTTAATGATGGTTTTTTTTTTTTTTTAATTTCGCGTTAATCTACAAATAAAATTTGCATTTGTTGAACTTATTACTTGTTCGAAATTTATTTATTCATTTTAATTATTAACCTACTCGCAATAATCTATTCAGTTATTTTCGCTTGCTCGTATGCGCCTGGCATAATTAATATCCATTGAAACAAATCACAATAGGTATTTTGGGTACCATTGTCGCGCAAACGAGTTTCTAAAGCGACGAAATGCCACGGCCACATACACGCAGCTCATCTCTCGCATAAAATATTCGCGGCTGATTATTTCGCGAGAACGAATTTCGACGATTTAGATGATCGCATTGTTTGCCATTCCATTCACGCCGGTGCGTGTTAAATAATTCATTAATGCCGATATAATTTACGGTCGTTATTCGAATCACGAAAACATTGGCGTCGAATTTGCTACAATCCAATCTCCATTATCAAATGCATAATCAGATATGCCGTGTACGATTTCCAAAAGAAACGCATTGATTAAATCAATTACAGGAAGACTGCAATACAAGTCGATTTTGAGATAATTTATTATAAAATTATCTTTTTTTACTCAGATAACTGAAAATATTAAATTCATATAGAGAATTCAAGAATAGTACATATGAAATATTTGTATCATGATACTATCATGATATTAGTTTGTAATTTGACAATTAAAATCAACTTTATTGACTTTGACAAATAATGAATGGAATTATTACTATAATAATTTTGAAAACAGTGCAAGAATCACAAACTCCATGGATTAAAGTTGAAATTAAATAAAGCTTTGTCCTCACACGCGCAAGAATTTTGTAACAAAACTGAAAATTTTTCTTGCGATCCTCAATCAAAGGAACATAGGAAATTCGATTATTTTATTTACCAAGTCAAGTCCAATAGTTAATAACGTCGACTGCTTACGATAAAAGAGAGAGTGCAATTAAATTATTGGTTACTTTGGAAAAAATATTCACACTTATAAAATGTAGTAAAATTATTAGGAATAATGACGCACTTGCACTAATGTAATATTGTAATATTAATCATTCCTATTTCTCTTTTACTATAACGATAATAATTCCCTTATCGTCTACAGTAATTTCCTTGCATATTGAGTGACTCTCTAGTAGCTATTTAGATCGATTTTCCTTCCATTTATGAGATATAGCTATCCAAATGTGCGCGACAGATTACGGAGTGACTTCACCGCGCGAATCTCCGCTCCGGACGCCTTTTTCGGTCGTTAAAAGAACGAAAGTGACGGGCCATTATCCCGTTTCCCCACAAAAACGATCCGCTTTCGTCCCCAGCTACGAGCCGCGGCCCTTCCCGGTCATTTATCTCGATAATGACAGTTCGGAACAATTTCTATATTAGAGGGCCTCATTAGAGCGCCGCGCCAGCTTGTAATTTACCTCGTCGACATTTTTACGTCCGCAAATGCGCGAATTAAAACGACGGCGAGCATATTTCTACACTCGTTACTCCTTAGCACTCGAACCTTGACTCAATAGTGAATATCTTTTTTAGAAGAAAAGATTCTACTTGCTGCTCAGATTTCTATATCTTCCACGGCAGAGAAAAGAACAACAGAACGGATTTTCGAAGCAGTAATTTTTGCTACAATTTATAGTAATCTAATAAATGCTTATTTTTTTTTTTTTTAATTAATATTATCTCAAGTAAAAACTAAGTAATAGTTAGTTAGTAAAAAAATAATTGAACTTAAAATCAAACTTATCACGATTGTTATGTGATTGTATTTCATTGAACTAATTATTATGATAGTGGTATTTCACAGAGAGCAGCACAATACAGCGTTTAAAAATTTTTTGCGATAACATCGAGGCTAGAGGTTTTATACAGCTCACGTTGACAATTGTCGGCGGACAGATAATCATAGTCTAAGTTTCGACGTGCGTCATCGGCGCTTCCGGAATTAATACTTAAACGTGAGAAGACGTCAAGCGGAAAACTTTCCGCGCAATTCACGCTCCGTCGAGGAGGTTGTCGCCGTATTTTATTTCTCGGCACGGAGACACGTCTCGTTCGTTTCCCAAGAATTTCTCCAGCGAATGCAAAAACGAACTATAAACATCAGAAAAATTCTCGCGTTGATATATTTCTATGATATATATAAAAGAAAACATATATATATATAATAGATGCAAAATTTTTCTTTTTCTAAACGAAAAGTTTAAACACTGGAGAGGGGGGAAAAAGAATTTTTTTATATCAGAATATTTGCTTTCTGTTTACAGTGTAAAATTGTTGTACAAAAATCGTTATAAAACATTTGCGAATAACTCGACGTTAAAGCACTTAAATTGGACATTGGTAATATTTTCGACGTTTCAGATGTATTTTGCAATCGCATCCGCATGCGATGGCGTCCGAGACGGATCCAAAAGGATCGGAATATGAGTGCAGTACGCGCGATAAACGTTAATGGCCGAAAATTAATTGGCAAGTTTTTAACGGGATAATAAAAATAATGGGCCGTGACGGCGGACAGGTAGGCCGTCGGGTACGACGCAAAAATCGCGCGATAGACTGGCCGCTCCATTTTCGTCGGGAATGGCCGCATTAAACGTTATGGATGGCCGTACCGAAAGGGGTGAGCGATTTTTCTTCGAGTTAATGCGCCTCGGTAAGAGAGGTGCGCCGCACGAAGAGAGTTATGACTCGCGCAATATCACACCGAAGCGGCGACGATGCTCCCGCGAAAGGCGCGGGATAACAATAAACGTAATAGTGTAATGAAGCTGCTGCCGGCCGTTAATGAACGACGATCTCAAAGACCTCGAATATCTCTCGCAAGGACCGGAGCGAGACAAGTTGCGAGTGACAAGTGTATCAATCGAAATGTTTGATCGCTTTAAATAAATAAATGAAATGATATTTATTTAAAGTTTAATTTATATTCAATAGTTTGAATATTATCGTAGAACATAGTGTGTGTTGTTAATTCTTAAATATGTTGTTGCGTCGTTAAACATTATATTCTCATTTTGTTGAATAAATAGATACGCGCGGTGTTGCAAGACACTGACCTAAAGTAGAATATTAAAAATTAAGATATCTGGCAGTTTTGATAGATATCAGCTTTTTGGAAAAGTTTAACTTTTATTTTTTTCAATGGCTGTAATTTCTCTTTGAAATATTTCCTAACGATAAAATTGGAGTTGCAATATTAATCGCAGCCGCACAGACGAGTAATCGCGCGTTGATATACCAACGTGAAATGTCAATTACGCGACTGTCGAGTAACGAGCTCTCGCGAGCCAAGAGAAAGCGGATTTGCGAATTTATATCATGAAATTTTCGGAGAAATAAATGCGATCGAATTTAAAGTTAATGCCAGTGACATGTGATCTGCATGATCGTATTTATCATTTTGAGCACAATGACAGAGCAAATTGTGTGAAAAGGTTTTACCACACGTTATAATAGATATTATTAATCAAAATTAAAGGTTAAAATTGTTTAAATGTGGAGCGGTAGATACGTCAAAATCTAAAATCTATTATATATGTAAATTCAAAGATAGACATAGATTAGACATACTAAAATTCAGTCGTGACTCTAAATATCAATTTTACATATTTTTAATTAAAATACTTTGTCGGTCTACAAATATTTATGTTATGTACGGCAAAATAAAACATGTAGATGTTTTGATTACAAAGGATTACATGTTCCTTAACATTAAAGATAATTGTGCTTTACGCAAATTTTCCTATGCATGTGAGTTTTTTAATTAAAATAAATGTTATTTAGTGAAGTAACATAAAAGTTAGTAATGAAATGTCAAAAATTCTACGCGACATTTAATACATGATTCATAACTTATTTAAACAAAAGAAATATTTAATGATTCACGTAACAATAACGCTGCAACATGCGATGCGTTGCATCGAGGCTTTCGAAGCCAATTAATTTTTATCGGCAAAGCGCGCCTAATTAAGACGCTCGTAAAATTTACACGGATGTTACAAGGCTTACGATCAATTGCGAAAGAATTTTATGAAAATTTCAGAAAGCAAAACTTTAATAATATACAATTATGAGTTAGAAAAAATTCATATGGCAATTTATAATAATTTTCAAAAGAGAAATAGATATAATCATCCGGATATATAAAGTTTCACACAAACTTAAAATCATATAAAACATAACTAATATAATACAAGAAACTTAAAAAGATATTTATGTAATAAATATTTGTAATTTGATAAATTATTAGTAAATGTTTGCATAATTGTGTAATGCGGAAGACATTATTAATAAAAATACATTAAGAAAATAGAATAACATAAATAAATTGGAGCATCAAGTAAATCCTTAAAAAAAAAATTTATTTAAATAGAATTTAAATAAAAATAACAATAGAATTTTCACTCTTTTAAAAAAAGAAAGATATATAAAAAAAGGAGTTAAAGAACTACCTGAAATTGGTTTTACTTCTAGTATTTAGATTTGCAAACCAAAGAAAATTCTATTCTTTTGGAAATAAAATTACCACTTTTTCATATTCTACGCTGTAATACGTTTTTTAAGCAAAAATGCTATTAATTTTCACCTCCTATTTATCCTTTGAAAAACCCTTTCAGATAATCTTATTTCGGTTTACGGTTACGGTTACGGGTGTTTCCATAATTCTTACAAGTCACTTCTACAGATTTGCCACATTACAAAGATCTGCTCCGGAATCCTTTCAAGTTCGATCATCGACCAATGTCGATTCCGAAGAGACTCACCGTGCTGATGCAGCTTGCCGCCACCGACGGCCTGCTGCTGCGAATGTTTATGATGATGAGGTTGTTGTTGCTGCTGCTGCTGCTGCTGCTGCTGCTGCTGCTGCTGCTGTTGCTGCATTTGCTGCTGCTGACGCGAGTCCCGTGCCATGATCGCAGCTATGCTGAAGTCGGTCGCGCATTGTCGATTCGAATTGCAATTGTTGTTGAGATTGTTCAGGAGGCTGCTGTTCGGCGACGGGCTCGAGCTCTCGTCGCCGTCATCGCCGGCACATCCGGATAGCCCGGTGGATACCGCGGGGGCGGCGGTGCCCTCGCCCTGCATCTTCCTGCCCAGGTAGAGGTGATGTCGGGATTCCTCGTCGTCCTCCTCGCTGCCGGCTCCTCCGCCGCCACCGCCACCGCCGCCGCCTCCGCCACCACCACCGCCGCCACCGTCGCCGAACGAGGTCAGTGTCAATCCGTTTCTCTTCCTACCGGTGAGGCCTCGCGACTCCAGCAACATCACCTCGCGCGCTGCTTCCTGGGCCACGTGGGGTCTACCGATAAACTAATTGAGGCGCGTCTCGAAGCGGAGGAGGCACTTGACGTCGCGACGTCGTTACGGGTGTCGTGCGTCACGACGATGCCAGTGATCGCGACGATGCTGACGATCGCTGTTCGAAAGATAATTTACGTTTCTATCCTCGATGCGCGAGCACCGCTGAAGCGGCATCAGCATCCTCCTCTCCGGACGCGCAAATCAGCTTCGATTCCTCGTCGTCGACACATGCGCGCGCGCGTGCACGCACGTGCGCGCGAAGAGATACGGGCGAAATCGGACACGCGGATTGGTCCGCACTGACGGATCGCACGATCGCCGTGTTCGTTGCACGGCCCAATGCGGATACGGATGAAAAAAAAAAAAAAGAACGTTAAAACTAATCAATGTTCCTATCGGAGAGCGACGATAAGAATCAGAGCACAACACTAAAACGACGCCAAATAGCTGGCTGCGACATTTATCGATCTGTACGGTGAACGTGATCCAAAGTAGTCAAGACCGATGAGAGACTCCCCCCTATCGAGGGTGCGGGGACTCGAGTAAAAGCTACGTCGTCGTCGTCGTCGTCGTCGAGGACACAGTCGCTTCTCTTTTGCGCGCGCGAAAAAGCGGAGCTGTTTGATGTTATATCGTTTACACTCCAGGCCGTGCGCGAGCGAAACGTGGCGCGAACAGAGCAGGGAACGACAGACCGACCGGTTGCCCGACAGACTGACCCGCGCCACCGCCGGTCGCCTCTTCGTTTCGACCCCCATCCCCCCCTCCAAAGCGATCGAGCTCGGTCGGTACGGAGCTAAAGGGACGGTAAAACATGAGCGGGAACGAGAGGAGAGGATGCCCGGCGGGTGTCGAGAGGCGGTTCCTTGGCACGCTCCACCTCCACGATCAGCACTCAGCTCCGCCTGCAGGCTCTCTCCCGTACGAAACCCACCTCGAGGTTCGCCTAAACGTTATTACCGCGTCGTTCTTCTTTCTCTCGTGCCTCTGCTCGCCCCCTCTCTTTCTCTCGCGCCCATGTCAGACCGAAACTGCCAACCGGGAGCCGACGATACATACAAACACGTACGAACGTTCACAGGAGGAGTCTCTCGGTCAGCCGGTGGTGGTCGTCGCCACCGTCGTCCTCGTCGTCGTCTTCGTCATCATCGTAGTCGTCATCGTAGTCGTCGCTGCTCACCCAGGTCGTCTCTCCTCGTCCCCCACGTCGCTTTTTTCTACACCGTCTATCTCTTCTCGCTCGCTCTCGCTTCCTCTTCCCTCTCGCATCCTTGTCCCTTCTTCCTCACGCCTCTTCCTTCCGCCCTCTCCTCTTTCCGCCCCTCCCAAGCGTGGCAACCCGCTCCGCCCGTCGCGCTCGCACGCTCCACGTCCACACGTATAGAGCGAGATAGGGTGGCGGTATTATGGTCTCGTACGCGCCATCCAGCGACGGCAGCTGCCATTTTTTCTTACGAGAGAGGGGCAATTGCTGACAGGGACCGCTTTCCTCCACGCTAGTATGCCGCACGACTCTCGCCCCTCTCTCTCTCTCTCTCTCTCTCTCTCCTGACG